GAGAGGTTGGTGTTGGCTTATCTGAAGGACATTACTGGACCCTTACTAGACCCCCTGCTGTTTGCTTATCGAGCAAACAGGTCCGTGGATGATGCAGTCAACATGGGACTGCGTCATATCCTACAACATCTAGACAAACCAGGCACTTATGTGAGGATCCTGTTTGTGGACTTCAGTTTGGCTTTCGATTCAATCATCCCAGCCCCCCAGGGATGTGTTGTCTCCCCACTGCTCTTCTCCTTCTACACCAATGACTGCACCTCTACTGACCCCTCTGTCAAGCTCCTGAAGTTTGCAGGCGACACTACAGTCATCGGTCTCATCCAGGACGATGATGAGTCTGCATATAGAAGCAAGCGCAAAATAGAAGCATTTTCACTAGTGGACTTTTTGAACCCTCTGTATGTAGAAGAAGAAACCAGGTTAGAAATGAAAGCTGAGATTTCTGTGCCAAGAATGGTGTAGAAAGAGCATATACCTGGATAAAAGTATAGTACATCAAAAGAGACGCCATCTCCTGACTTACTTTTGAGAGAGTGACAGCAGAGCCTTTCTTCCTGTGTAACCAGCGGTGACTCTCACTGTGCACAGTCTGTGCGTGTGTGTGTGTGTTGTCAAATCTATTGATCTGCTCCCTGTGTGGGAGTGGAGATGCTGTATGTGCTCTGCACTTGGCTGCAGCAGTTGTTCCCTGCCCTTTTTCACTCCACATTCACAGGAAATCAATCCTGTTAGCAGTTCTCCATCTCTCTCTTCCTCAATTCTTCTTAATCGCCGTCACTGTATGAGGCTGAAGTATCTATCAGGCACACAACAGCCATACTGTGCCCCCATCTTTACCAAGCCATGCGCTGCACACTCTTTATTAACACGTCATAATGAAACCTCAGAGAGTCAGCTTATTTAGGATGGTTATTATGTTCTTTCTCCTGAATAATGAAGCCCCTCTGAGGATTTAACACTCCCCTGCTATCTTTTGCCTCCTCTCCTCCTTCCTCCCTCCCTCCTGCAGTCTCCCTCCCTGCCTCTTCCCCCATTTCTCATTCCACAGAGAGATGCGGTGCGTTTTTATTTTTAGGCTACTGTGGGGCTGCGTGGTGACTGTAGAGGAGGAGAGCAGGTGACTTATGGACAGGCAGGATAATTGGAACATTAAGTATAGCATTTCCTTTGTGGGCTAAACGAGTCCCTGTGGATCGGCGAGTGGAGCTGTGGTCACACTGCGGTCTGCCTATCTCCGCCTCTGTGTTCCCTTCTGAGAAGAATGGCATATGTTATGCTTTGGATGCTGGTGCTAGCTTAACCAGCAATGCTGTGTGTGTGACATTGTAAATCTAGGGACAGTGAATACTCAGATGCCTGCCGGATTGATATGACCATTATCTTGATTGCAGTGATTTGTCACTTTACGTGATCAATGATTGATATTGGCTAGTGATCATTAAAGCCAAAGATAAAGGACTGTATCATTGGTGATTAACTTTCAGCTTGCCCCCATGAAATACAGATTAAATTATGTTCATTGCCTGTTGTCCTCTCCATGTCAGTCCTTTTAAAGTCGAAATGATAAAAGATTGGCAGAGAGAACAGTAGATAGATTACCTGTGTTGAATGTCTTTGAATTAAATTCCTCTACCTGCATTCCAATTCAATTTCATCTTCACACTCATGAATTTAAAAAGAGCCTCTCACCACTGGACCAATGAGTAGATTGCAACTTAGAGAAGTGCTTCCCAACCTTGTTCCTCACAGTACACACTTTGGATATTTTCCTTATCTGACCCATCCATTTCTGGTCTTGGAGTCTCTACTATGAGCTGATCAGTTGAATCAGGTCTGCTTGATTAGGATACATTAAAAAATTCACTGCCTTTTATCACTGGGCCCAGGACGACATTCCCAGTTGTCTCTCCCTGATGATGGCTCTGGCTGCTAGTAATTCCTGGCAGTGATTGGTGAAGCTTTTGCCTAAACAAGTTGTTAATATCCAATCCCCTGATGGAGTAATTAATATGGGGACTGTGGCTTTGACAGGAGACTTAACGATTGAGAGAAGTATGGAGTGAGGGAGTGAGAGTATGAGCATGATAGAGAAGGAAAGAGAGGGAGGGAGGAAGAAAAATGGTGGAAGAACCATCCATCAGCTTCACTGTACCAAAACACTGACTCAGTCACTGTGTGTGTAAGTCTCCGGGGAGAGGCGGCTCATCATAGCAGTGGCAGTGATGGAGTGATCGGGTGTTGCGGCACGGTCATTCTTACCCTATTATCGGAGTTGGGGATCATTGTGTCAGTCATCCAGGAGCCGAACCTTGACCCTGAGGCGCGGACGGTGATGGGGTTACTGACGCCAGTTAGCTTCCCGCAACCTGGTGATAGAACAAAGAGGGCACTATAAATGGCGGCTTCAGAGGAACTCCGATGAATCAGTCAGCATTAAATTGCCAAAAGCGACATTTATAGAGCAGAACGAATATTCTTTAGATCATCATTTTGGATTTTCTTGTGAAGTCATCAGTTTCACCCTGAACAGAACATGAGCTTGTCTAATCATGCATTTGAAAGCCAATGAATCTTTCAGCCAAATGAACTTTGGACATTTCAGTTTGAGGCCTGCTAGTTGGCTGCTTTTAACATTCTAATGTTAAATTGCATGTTAAATTGCTTATCTAATTGGACAGCAAGCACATTTTGACTTAATTGGGTCTAATGTGGTTTCCCTGAACATCAGACATGTCTACTTTACTTTTGCTTTTCCATTTGAAAGTAAATTACTGCAGCTGCTCTAAAATAACAAATAATCATGCCAATCAAGTCCTTCACTGAGAATCTAATAAGTCAAAATTCTTTCTTTTTTCTTGTTGTAATAGGTCACATACTGTTTTTCCACTGTCAATAGATTGGTTGCTGCCTTTTCCTGATTATTAAAATCAACTCAAACCCACTTTTACTAGATGTCTTACCGAGTTTCTGCATGCAGGAGTGCAGGCGAGTCTCCAGCAGTAGCACTCGCTGCCTGAGCTCCTCGTAGTCATAGGCTCCCATCTCCTCTTGAATTGACATTAGTACCAGGGACAGATTCCTCACCTCCTCCCTCAGCCGAAGGATCATTCTTGCATCTGCCTTGTACTGCTCCAGCACTGGCAGCAGGGGAAGCAGCTGAGTAACCTTGTCCTTTAACTCCTGAGGTAAACGGAAGAAGGAAGGTGTGAAATGGTGGTTAGGAAAGATGAGAAATGGTTAATCTCCCTCTCACAGAGGTTTGGGAATTTGCATGGGCTCTCATTAACTATTCAACATGTTCACCTCCAGTATTTCATCTCGCATGACCGGTCTCCTACCCCGGATCCGAATGCATCCTCACATGAGAACTTAATATTGATTTTATACATTTGCAATCTCTCACAATCTACTGCTCCTCCGACGTGGTGACACAGGCCCACTCATCTGAGCACTGTCAGCTCTCCACCTTGGCGTGACCAAGCATATACGAAAGAGCTAAAAGTTGTGGGCTGAGCTCAGCTCAGTGTGGGCAATCAGTTACTGCAGCCATGCCGACTGGCAGGTCTGGCATAGGCTGAGGTATATCAATAAAGAGGGTCTGAACAGCAGGTGTATCAATAAAGCATGCTCACCACAGGAGGGGCTGTTTCCTCCTTGTTAAAGTTTATCGTAAATCTGGTGATGGAGCTGCTCTCAGCCCTGTGGCACCACATCATAAATCTCATTTTCCTGTTCTGAGACACAAAAATTTAGTCTCGTTAATCTCCCGCCCTGCCATAGGCGACTTTGAGCTCTCCACATTCATCAGCAGCCTCGCCGAAATAAAGCTGGGCTTTCAGACTCCCAGTCTTTGAAATAGTGCTTTTAACACTGGCACATCTCACATATTTTTCACAGCTCCAGCAGAGAAAAAGGGGGAAAAAAGATTATGGTGCTTTGAACATGTATCGATAGATGAGGAATGATTTCTGGAACATTTTGGAATAATTTTCTATGCAGCGTTTGGTGACTCACACCGCAGCAGAGTGGGGTGGATGGGTAAATGGTGGTGCTGCGTTCTGAATGATAGTGATACCCCAGGGAGGAGAGTCTGTGGCTTCCATTCCACTCTCTTTAGCAGACAGCTACATGTTACTCATCTTAAAGCGTGCTCTTCCATTTAGTCCGCTGTAAATTGGTAGTGAGTCCTTCTACTATTCTGAGATTGTGCAGGGATAAGCACACTCTCGTATTCAAGAGATAAAAAGCTTTAATAATAAAGGGGTCTGAATCTTAGCCTTTGAGAGAGCAGCTGCTAGCTAAAAAGAACAAAAAAAAGTGTAACCTTTTGTATGCACACAAACACACTCATTACTGAAACAAGCTCCAAGTTCTAGGTATAAATAATTGAGGTGCATTTGAATTCTCTCAGAGGACCTTTGGTATGTCTCAATTAAACATAAAAATCAGATGTATTGAAGGTTAGTGTCAGTGTCTATTTCATGTAGGGGCAGAGGCACCGGAAAGCGTTTTAGAGAAGAGTGTCTAGGTGGGCAGGTTGTGATGAGCCCGTGTATACTATTTAGCATGCAATAATGTTGCTCAATCTCCAGTCATGTTACAAAATTAATATTCATGAGGTAATGTACTGGAGGTCAGCTGGTAAAGGCTGTGCAGTAAACCTCACTCCCCTGACCCCAAGAAGCACACTAGCGACTGTTGCTAGAGGCTGCAGTCGTTTGTGTTCTTTTTAGCAAGCTCACCTCCCATACCGGCTGTCACCGGGTTTGAGCCCCACTCGGAACAGGCCAAGCAGAAATGGTTGCATTGGTGCCATAACCCGGATAGGGGGTGCGTCTAACGGAGCCCAGCTGGTAAAGGCTGTAAACATACTCCCCTGACCACAAGAGGTGCACTTGTGACTTCGCTAAAAGCTGTTTCCTTGTTAGCACATCTGCTTCCCACGCTGGCTGTCGCAGGTTTGCAGGCTAAGAGGAACTGTTGCACTAACCTTCACTTGGGTGCTATTTATGAATTGATGGTGTATTCAGATGTCCTTGATTTGCATAGCCTTCTAGATGTTTCATGTAGTTTTGACATTGAAATCCTACATCAAGTCAGTTTTACATATGCTCAGAGGTTTTTGCTTAATTTAAAAAAATCAAAAATCATCTACACAATTATAATTGTTAAATGGGTCATGAACTGCCTTTTTGTATTATTTTGTACTGTTTTCTGAGGTCCACTTAAAATTTTTACATCAAAAAACATCATAATTTAGAAGTAATAGGCTACTTTCTGTCCTGCTTTGACCCTCCTTATTGGAACGCTCTGTTTGAATAGGCTTGGCGGATTGTAGACTTGGAAGTAAAACACCCACTGCTATGATTGTCTAACATATGTGTATGTTTGACACCCTACATCCTTCACAGATAAACGCTGCTGTGATTTAGGTTAAAAATGCATAAATACCCAGTACATATCAAGCCATCATATTAAGCCATTTTTTATGCTGAATATGCTTCAGTACCTGAAAACTCTTGGGGTTGAGGCTGCGTGGATTTTCAGAGGCAGTCTTCAGTTTGCCATCCACTGTTTTCATGAGGTTCTCTGTGTCTCTCACATACTGCAGGTCTCTGTATGTCCTCAGATCTAGCACCTCCATGGATTGAGTAATATTCTGAACCTGTTAAATACCACAAAACACAGTCAAAACAGTGTAATGCATCAGGGCATGTTTTTTTGAGGACACAACAGTGTGACGCCTTCAATTTGTTGTAGTTCAGATCAGCCATCCTACATATTCAGACCGCCCACTGAGCATCTTGCCCACATCAACACACAGGCGACGGGAGCGTGATTGCTGATCAGCACACACACCTTACTAGCTCCTACATACTCCCACATACTCTGAGGCCACACACACACACACACACACAGAGAGACATTCACACACCCTCCTCCTGGCTGCACTTAAGAGAATCAAACAGGACATGGTTTGTATGCTGGTATTCTCCTCATGTCCACACTGATGTGCATGAGGGCCCTTGTCTAATTAGTTGATCTGCATAGCTGTCAGACCCAATGGTCACACTTAGCGCTGAGGATTGTGGATGTTTGAACTTGGGCAAGGGTTAGGTGGGATCACATATTCACTCTGCATTCAGTTATTGTTTGTCATGCATGTCGCTGACTGCTCAGGAGGACTGAGCAGATACACGCTCTCGCACACACACAAGAGGCTGGGTGGTGGTAGTTTAATTCTGAACACATCTCTCTCAGAGAGGGACTGACCCAGGTGTCCTCATTAGTCTGCATTTTATTAGGCAGGAGCATTAGTGCCTCACAGCTGCTGGCATAGCCACACACACATTTTATTTTCTGAGTGGTTGAGTTATGTTGGTGTACGATTGTAGATAAGGTGTTTAGACCCTGACAGAGGGGCAAGGCAGGATTTAAGACAGTGTTTGTGGCAGGATTTAAAGGGATAGTTCACCCAAAAATGAAAATTCTGTTATCATTAACTGCCCCTCATTCTGTTCCAATTTTTTTTATGACTTTCCTACTTCTGCGGAACACAAAAGAAGAAGTCTCAGCTGTTTGTCCATACAGTATTGTGAAAATCAATGGGGTCTAAAACGTTCAAGCTCTAAAAAGGATCACAATCACTTTGATAGACAGATTGATCCTTTATTCACTCTCAGATCAAATCAAAACATTGGTCAATGTACAGTACATATGTGCAGATGACATCAAATATGGCAACACAAACCTCAAATATCATGGTAACATGCTATTAAGAACCAATAAGGCTTGATGTTAGTTGAGGTTACACTTTAGTTTGTGTACACTTGTTAATCAATGTTTTGATTTGAATAAAGGCTTAAATCTTGATCTGTTTATAATACAAAAAGACTGTGTATCGTCAGAAGACAATGTAACAGTTGAGTCAAATGTATTAATTTCATGCAACCTGTATGTCCTTTTCAAAGCTTTGGACTCTGATGACGTTCATAATATAGACAAACAGCTGAAAAATTCTTCAAAATCTCTTCTTTCATGCCTGTATTAAGAAAGGGTTTGGAACAACATGGTGGTGAGTAAATTATAGAATTAAATTTTTTGGGTGAACTCTTCCTTTAAAGGGGTCCTATTATGCTCTTTTACAAAGTCTTGATTTTGTTTTGGGGGTGTACTAGAACATGCTCTCACGCTTGGTGGTTCGAAAAACGCATTATTTTTCACATAATTTACATTATTAAAATACCTTTCTCCCCAGCCTGGCACAAACGGCTCGATTAGTTCCGGCTTTGATGAACTTCTTCATCGTCTCGTCTGATGCACTCAACCAAGCGTTCTAACCACAACCTCGCCC